CCCCCAGTGTGAGTCCCCCCCCAGGTTTTGTCTATTTACAGTGTGTTTATGGTAAAAGGAACGCTCCAGTTAACATAAGTTACATTGTGGTGTAGTTGTTATGGTGCTTGGTGTTTATGAGGTTGATGCAAACAAGGCAGATCAGCAGGTTTTAAGAAAACAAATTACTTTAGGAGGGATCCTTAAAAAGCAGATAGTTTAGCACCCGAATAATATTTCTTACTTGGCCTAATACCTTGTTACAATTTCTTAGACTAGATCAGTTCTATCCTGCTGCTGTTATTCAGGGCCATGCGTTGAGATACTTCCTGGTTCTTTGGTTTGCTCTGCAATAAACTGAACTACGTGCAGGGCTGAGTGCTGCGTGGTTCACATTTCATTAGATTTTTTTTTTTATTTTTTTTTTTTAAAGTGTGTCTCCTGTAAGCTACTTCTTGGCAATAAGCAATTTTATATCAAGTTTATAACGGCAGCCGTTGCAGACAATAAAAAGTAGTAAGTAGGCCGCCTACTCTAGGGGTCTGTGATGTGCGTGTGGTGTGTGGTGTTTTTTTTTTTTTTTTTTTTGGTCCCCCAAAGTCAGTAAATGACCTTTTCAGTAGCCGTGACATTGGTTTAATGACATTCAGTTGCGAATGTTGTTTGAAGGGCAATGTGTGTCTTGTAATTAGAAGGAATAATACTAAGCTTTGTACAGTTTGCTGTAATATGTAGAACCAAATGAATTGCATCTGTGCCTATATTTCAGACATTTAATTCCTTCATAATAGACAATGTTAGATCTCCTTGGTATTCTTTATTTCAGTTGAATGCCATATTTTGGTGGTAAATTTGTTTTTTTCCTCAGGACACTTATATTCTAGGGTGTGGTTTTTTTTTTTTTTTTTTTATTTTATATAGGAGTGAAGGAAGCAATATGACTCTGGTGGAATAACCTTTTTTTTTTTTAAGTTGATTCCTCTGTTTGTGTTTGTGGGGCTCGGTGGTGTAGGATCCATTATGTATGCTCTGAGAGTGACTATGTTCAGCCCTGAAGTCAGGTAAGCTAATGCATGTTTGCTGTAAAGCACACTTCATTTAAGACTTTTTATACTGCTGTTTTATTTGACCTGGATTTGATTTGTTCCTGCAGCTGGGACCGTAAGAATAATCCAGAACCCTGGAACAAGAAGAGTCCCAATTATCAGTACAAGGTAGGTACATGCTCACTTCTAATGAGTCTTAATGTTTGTGCTGCATATGGCTACGTACAGCATGTCTGTGTTTCTCCTGTAGTTTTACAATGAAACCATTGACTACAAGAATCTGAAGAAGGAAGGCCCTGACTACTAAGGAGAGCCGCCACTGCCTGTGTCTACCATTCTGCAGAAACTTTTTTTTTTTTTTTTTTTTCAATCAATCCAGGAATGTTGCCGTCTGACATGCTCCTATTTAATCAGATAAGATGTGTTTATTGAATTGTCCAGCCCTGCTGTCTTTGTAATGTATTTAGCTGGGTCTAACTCAATTAAACTGAGTCCAATACAGAGTCTGTTTATAATTACTTTAGTTGTTCTGGCTCTTTGCTGATCGCTTTTCTTCTCTCTGATTGTAATACAGTGAGATGTAACTTGCTACTAAAATCTAATATTGAGGAGTAGATTTTTCTCAGTGTGCAATAGCCCAGACTTTGTATTAATCCCTTACAGTAGACAAGTTCCTGACAATTTGCCTTAAACTGTCACCCTAAATCCAATCGCTGCTTCTAGATCCACATCTGTCAGGCCCCCCCTAATTTTTTTTTCTTCTTTCTCTCTTCCCTAAATTTGTAATTCCATGTTTGGCGAATAAACCCATTTGTCACTTTTCTTGGTGTGAATTGTGAAGCTTAAAAAAACAATTCTATCAAACTCTGCTCTTTGTGTAGTTTGACTATTTTCTGAAACTTCCTAATCCGTTGTCCAATTCCATAAATAACTAATTTAAAAATGAGTTTTAGATTAAATTAAAAATAGCTACAAAGATATGGGTTCCTGCTGTTAACTGTATTTCATCATAAATCCTATTCTTGGGTGAAGACTATGATTCTCAAACTACTTAGAAATGGAAGACTGTGTGTAATACACGGTAGGGTTTCCCTAACCGTGACGTAAAGTCACAATCTGATGAAAGAATGGTGGAGAATATTACATTTTTTCTGCTACTCCTATTAACAAGAAAACTTTAACCCCTCAATCCGGAGGCAATTGTCCGAGATCTCAACCTAAACAATACCTGACATTTTGAGCTACTTGTCTGTTCAACCGTAACTTACCTCTTTCACGTTAACTGTACCTGTACTTATCATGTATCATTTTGTACAGAAGAAACAGGGCTTTCATTTCACATAGAATTTATATCTAGAACACTACTTAATATGAATAAGATCCTTAAAAAAAAAACAAAGTGTTCGATATTAAGAAATGCTATTTTCCGAGATCTGCATGGTATTTTAACTGTGACTGTCATAATACTGGTGACTTTGTTTGTACAGGTTTTTTGGGGCTTTGGATAATTACAGGGTAAAATCTAGAGATTGTGCCTGGGTGGTTATGAATGAAGGTGTATGTGCACATTTTCCCTGTAACATTCCCTGTGTGCTTAATATTTTGGCTTTTAAGTTTGCTACCTAGTCACGTGTCTCATCTCACCATGTTTGTTATGCCCATTACGCCATATTGCTATTGCCTCTAGTTCCTCCATTTTGTTATTTAGGTTCCTTGCAATAATAAGCAAAAGTTTAACATTTATCATGAGTCACTTGTATGTTATGTGAATTTTTATTACTATTACATACCTCCTCTGTTCTGATCTCGCCCCTACCACATCCCAACCATGCTTGTGTTAAGCTAAATCGCCATCTCCATTTTGTAGATTTCTATGGCCCTTCCCCCCCCCCCCTCCTCCCCCTCTGTACCACTAGTTTAAAATGTCTTTCAACCTTCTAGTGAACTGCTGAATGCTGTTGGAGAAAGTCTCACTGTGCATCTGACTTTCTCCACTATAAATTTATGCTTGGCTCTTTCCTCTGCAAAAGTTAATTACTTCAATACCGTCATAACCACACTCTCCCGCGAGCCCAAACGACTATTTCACACATTTATCTCTCTTCTTCGCCCTGCTGTTCCTCCTCCACCTACTAACTTGACCGCCTCAGACTTTGCAACTCACTTCACTGACAAGATCTCTACAATCAGAAGAGATCTCCCATCTTTCTTCTTCACTCCCTCTGCTGTTCTATGTTCATTCGTACCTGCTACATTGGAAGAGGTTTCTGCTCTGCTCCAGTCCTCTCGCCTCACCACTTGCTCGTTAGATCCAATTCCCTCGCATCTCATCTGTACTCTGTCTTCTCTTTCTCCACCTCTCTCTCGTCTGGTATATTTCCATTGCCCTTCAAACATGCAACTGTAATCCCAATTCTAAAGAAGCCCAATCTTGACCCTAACTCCCCATCCAACTATCGTCTTATCTCGCTACTGCCTTTTGCATCCAAGATCTTTGAAAAAATTGTGTATGCGAGATTGACAGACTTCCTCGAGTCCAACTCTCTGCTAGACCCGCTTCAGTCTGGTTTCCGCGCTAAGCAGTCTGTGGAAACGGCACTGACCAAAGTATCCAATAATCTACTCGCTGCAAAATCTCGTGGTCACTACTCTATCCTAATTCTCCTTGACTTGTCTGCAGCTTTTGACACTGTTGATCATCAACAGCTTCTTCTCATCCTCCGCAATATCGGTCTACAAGATACTGCTCTCTCCTGGTGCTCCTCCTACCTCTCCCATCGCTGTTTCAGTGTTTTCTCTGGCTCTGCTTCTTCTCCCCAACTCCTCTCTGTTGGTGTCTCCCAAGGTTCAGTCCTTGGTCCCCTACTGTTCTCAATCTATACTGTCTCCCTTGGTAAACTCATTAGCTCCTTTTGGCTTCCAATATCATTTCTATGCAGATGACACGCAAATCTACCTGTCCTCTCCTGATCTCTCCCCGTGTCTCTGACTGCCTCTCTGCTGTCTCTAACTGGGTGGCTGCCCACTTCCTCAAACTAAACTTGACCAAAACTGAAATTCTGGTCTTTCCTCCCTCAAGTGTTGTTACTCCTGTGTCTGTCTCCCTCCAAGTCAACGGTGCTACCATCAGCTCCACCACGCAGGCTCGCTGCCTAGGTGTTCTCTTTGACTCCGTCCTCTCCTTCAAGCCTCATGTTCAATCTATCGCCAAATCCTGCCATTTCTATCTCAAAAACATTGCGCGCATCCGCCCCTACTTAACACCAGATGTGACTAAGGTGTTGGTCCATTCCACTGTCCTTTCTCGCCTTGACTACTGTAATCCGTTTCTCACTGGTCTTATGGGCTCCCAACTAGCGCCGTCACACTCCATAATGAATGCAGTGGCGAGGCTCATCTTCCTGTCTGCCCGCACCTCCCATGCCTCACCCTTCTGTCAATCCCTACATTGGCTTCCTATAAAATATAGAGCTCAAGTTAAAATTCTGGTTCTTGCTTTCAAATCTCTACATAATTCTGCTCCCACCTATCTATCCTCCCTTATACACAAGTATGTCCCGTCTAGGCCCTTATGCTCTGCTGAAGACTTGCGTCTATCTTCTGTCCGTACTCCCACCTCCTGATGCTCGCCTTCAAGATTACTCAAGGGCTGCACCATTCCTGTAGAACTCGCTTCCCTCCGCCGTTAGATGCTCACCCAGTCTCCACTCCTTCAAAAAAATAATTAAAAACCCACTTCTTCATAAAAGCATATCAATTAAACTGTTAATAGCTCCTGACTGATTCCTCTTCTGCATCTGTCACTAGTCTAATACTATCCTTACCTTTTTGTGTCATTTTACCTCACTCCCTCTAGCATGTAAGCTCATTTAGCAGGGCCCTCAACCCCTCTGTTCCTGTGTGTCCAACTTGTCTGGTTACAATTACATGTCTGTTCGTCCATGGCTGTGGAATTTGATGGCGCTCTCTAAATATCATAATAATAATAGTGGTCATGTGCCCCTCACAGCAGACACTCCCATTTTGGTGCAATCACTCAGTTATAAAGATTGTACCCGAGCACAAAATCTGTGTTCTAAGTAAACCAAACCCCCCTTCTGATGCCATGACGTTGGCAACGCGTTAACCTCCATAATCTCTCGCTGCTTTTCTACTGTAGCACACAGCGCAGGTTATATCGTTGGAATGCTGGTGAGGAAGCTCACCTAGTAAATTCCCTGATTACAGAGCCTGTTCAAATTGTGGCAGGGTCAACTCACCCCTTCATCCTTCTGAGATCGATAAATGACTGCCATTAATTGGGTAATAATCTATTAGAGCAGAAATGTGTTTTATTAATCCTAGTTATGTCATTTTCAGCTTCCTAATTTCCTGTCCTCATTGTGTGAGACCCTCCATTGTCCTTTGACTTGGACATAGTACCACTATGCACCATGACAGGTGGGTCATCCCAGTCCCTTACAATAATGCTTCCACTCTGTTGACAATTGCAGCCAAAGATTTTATATACACACACAAAAGCAAAGCCTTAGTTGCACCAAAGCAAAATATTTTTAAATAAAGTTGTTACCTAACTCCATGGCACTCTTTGCTGTGATATTCTGCATATCTTTCCCTATTCTCCAAACATAATGCAAGCGACACCATTTAAAGTAAAGATCAAAGTACAGGCTCAAGATGGCCCACAATGCTCCTATATGAGGCAATATTTTCTTTTTATTCCTGCATTAGGTTTTGTTTTCGAAGAACACCTATTTTCTTAAGTTTGGTCCCAAAGCCTTGAAAACAAAACCTAATGCAAGAATAAAAAATACTGCCCCATAGAGGAGCATTGTGTGCCATCGTGAGCCTATAATTCTGCATTATATAATGATTCTCTATGCAAGACCATGAAAACACTGCACTTGTGTGATGTTACGCTAGGGTATGAGAGCCAAGAAGTAACAATGTAAACTACTAAAGTGCTGTCTCCCCAGTACATGTTGCACAAAATTAAAGGGATAATAATGAAAAAAATATATACTCATAATGCAGTTGGATGTAGCTGAAAATATGGCTGATCCGATGCAAATAAACCATATTCCATCAAGAATCCAGGTGACTGAAAAATGAGGAATATTGCACTCTTGAGAATTGCCAAAGTAACGAAGGGGGATAATCCTGGTAGTGTATTATTTATTGTGAAAAAAGGTAATCGAAATATACCAGGTATTAAATAAAATAATGTTCAAGTGAAATAAACCCAAATACAGGCAAACACATAATAGGGGTCGCCCTTAAACAAAGTCCACATATTGCTGTAGTAACGTCTCCTGTTAGACGTGAAACACATACTTGTTTAGCGGTTCACCTCTGTTATTTGCTTTGCCTGTATTTGGATTTATTTTCATGGTAAACCGCCCCATACCATTATACCTCCTCCACCAAACTTTACAGTTGACACAATTCAGTCAGACAGGTAAGGTTCTCTTGGCATCCGCCAAACCAAGACTCGCCCATCAGACTGCCAAACAGAGGAGTGTGATTCATCACTCCACAGAACACGTTTCCACTGCTCCAGTCTAGTGGCGCCGTGCTTTACACCACTTCATCTGACGCTTGGCATTGTACTTGGTAAAGTCAGTCTTGCACGCAGCTGCTCTGCCTTGGAAACCCATTCCAAAGCGCTACAGAATCTGTTGGCGCTATATAAATGGCAATAATAATAATGATGAAGCTGACACCGCAAAGTTTATGTGCGGATATTAAAGGGACACTAAAGTCACCTAAACAACTTTTGCTTAATGAAGCGGTTTTAGTGTATAGATCATGCTTTTCAGGTTTCGCTGCTCAATTTACTGCCATTTAGGAGCTAAATTCTATCACAGTAAAGGAGTTTAAGCAGGCGTGGGATAGGCATAAGGCTATCCTAACTAGAAGATAAGGCCAGGGACTAATAAAAGTATTTAGAAAATTGGGCAGACTAGATGGGCCGAATGGTTCTTATCTGCCGTCACATTCTATGTTTCTAAATCACTTTGTTTCTGTTTATGCAGCCATTGCCACACCTCCCCTGACTCTGATTGACAGAGCCTGCATAAAAACAAACTGGTTTCACTTTCAATCAGATGTAATTTACCTTAAACCAGTGGTAGTCAACCTTTTTCTACCTACCACCCACTAATGCATCTTTCTTGATGGAAAAATTTCCTTACCGCCCACCAGTTTTCGCTCAAGTGCGGAATATTTTTTAGAAAGGAGGGTGTTTAAAAAATCAAATGTACTGTAGCGGAGCGGCAATATTAAATCCCACTATCTCCGCTGGTTCAGAGGGTAATCCACAGTCAAGCGCTGAAAAGTAAGGCAATATCCCAAATCTCCCAGTAACCGGACGAGACACAGTTCTGAGAGTCAACTGCAGGCTTTATTCACAGGCTCCACAATTTATACAATTCCCCATGCAAGGGGTTTCCTGAGTCCTATCCCAGGGGTATTCCAGGGATGGACTACTTACATTACAGAGCCTTTCCCCCATCAGGCACTGCTGCACGAGGGATCCTCCCACTGGAATGTACCGTTAAGTGGATTATCCCTCCGTGCAGCAGAACCGGCAATTTACTTTCAAATATACAGTTTTTCGACTATTTGGTCTATTTGCACGAATGGATGTTCGGTAGATAGCTGGGGTCTGAGCGCATCATTCGTGAGATTACCGCTCAGATCCCAACTAAAACAACCGAACGCCGCACGAAAAACACATTCATTAAAACACACATTCAAAAGACCGATTGAAGTATAGGGAATAAAATACCGAACGGCCTGGAAGTTCAGCGGTGTTCGCGTCGTCGAGTAGCCGTTTTTAGTACCACGCGCTCAACGACCAAACACCGCTGAGGGAACAAAGGATCCAAGATGGCCGACCGCCGCATGGTCGGTAGTCGAACGACGGCCACCTAGGAGAGCCTCTAATTACCGATTGCAACATTGTTGCAATCGGTTAACAAGCGTGACACGTCTCTTAGTGTGTGGGCTATTAGAAGATAGTTCATTCGGTACACGAATGGCCCGCAAAGGTGCCGTTCGTGAAACGAAAGGAAATCAGCTATCTGCTTTCGGCAGATAGCCAATGCAGGCAATACAGTGTTACACAATCACATTACATTACACCCAAGAACACACATATCACGAAAATCATACAGGCAACCCTTAAAGCGATAGTACTTAAATAATGTCCAAGTGGCTAGGTTTGCCACATGCACGTACATTTATCTTTTTATTTCTACTTTATGCATGTTTATTATGTTTTTAACTTTACCTTTACTAGTGATTAATGAGATCCTTGAGGCTGATGCTGCAAGACTAAATATTTGATATCTGGTTCGATTTTCGTAAGGAACAAACAAAGTTCTCCTCTTTCGGTGATATTGAGGCGATTTTTCTGTTTGCGCATATTATGATTTCTCATCTGTGCATCAGCTCCACTCCTCTCCCTCCTCGATTCCCCTCCTCACCTTTTTTTTTTCTTCCTTTTTTCTATTTTTAACCTTCCTCATAGCAATGCCCAGTAGGAAGGCTGAGCTAGGCAGCCCACTTACTATTATTAGCCAACAACAATTCTCTCCTTTTCCTTTTTATTTTCGTTCTCCTTTTTTTTCCAAGTACTCTACTCCTTCTTTCTCCTATTCTACAAGTACTTTGCGCCTTGTTTCTCCTTTTTACAAATACTCTGTTCCTTCTTTCTTCTATTCTACAAGTACTCTGCTCACAGACAAACACACACACTCACACACACACACTCACACATACACTTAGACACACACTCACAGAGAAATACATACACACAAACATACAGACACACACATACACTTACAGACACTCACACATACACGTACAGACACACATATACTTACAGACACACACATAAACATACAGACACACATATACTTACAGACACATACACACAAATTATTAATATTAAATGTCCACCCAGCCTCCCTACCTGGAGAGCTGGTGTAGATCTGTCCCTGGGGTCCAGTGGGGCTTCACTTCAGCGTGCGGCAGAGTTCAAATCTGAGGGGGCGAGGGAGCTCTAACCTCTGCTCTGCTCCCTCGCGGGCTGTCTACTGATGCCAGGAGCCGGAATATGACGTCATATTCCGGCTCCTGCGGCATCAGAAAACATTGCGCAAGGGAGCAGAGCATAGAGGTTAGAGCTCCCTCGCCGCGTCTGATCTTACCACTGCCGCATGCCATGTGGCCTGGCAGGAGGGAGCACTTCCCTCCAGCCGGTCACTGAAATCTTGCGCCCGCATAGCCACTCGCGCCCGCCCAAAAGGAGAAATCCTCAAAAAAAGAGAGGATTTCCTTGTTTTATATGTGTGGATGTACCCTCCTAGAATGTGTGTTTCCCCTCTCTAATATTTCTTTTTCTGTAATTTTCACCATAAAATCCTGCAATATACCTTTTGACTACCCAGGGGTGCACTGGCACATGGAGCCCCGTGCACCGGACCACCCCGATACCCAATTTAGAACGTTTACTTAGAATGTTCACACCTCGCTAACGAGGTGTGAAAAACCACAGACCACAAGGGAACGAGCAGCACGTGCTTCCCCTGGGTTGCCGCCGGTTTGTATTACCGAATGCTCACCAGGGGGAGCTTTTGTCCCTCGAACTGTGCCGGACCAACCCGATACTCCAATTAGAACATTTAGTTAGAATGTTCACACCTCACTTACGAGGTGTGAAAACCACAGACCGCAAGGGAACAAGCGGCGCGTGCTTCCCGTGGGTGGCCGCTGGTTTGTTTCACCAAACGCCCACCAGGGGGAGCATGCGACTCCTGAACCAGCCTGCGTACACTGTTTTTGATCCTGGTGTCTGGGATCATCCTACCTGCTCCTAGCGGAGCTATAGTCACTTGCCACTCTTAAACCTGGAGCTACGAACCTGAGTATGGGTATCCACCGGAGAGAGGGACACGTGCCAGCAAGGAGTCCCTGGGGCTGTGAGTCGGTATCACTGTCACAGGGTTCCCGCTGGCTGCATGGAAGTCCGTGTCGACCAATGGGAGGAGTGCCCATTCAAACGGGGTTCGCGACATTCTCCTGGTTGGTCAACGAGTAAAGCGCTGATTGGTCACTGCAGGGAGCGCCCCTGTGCGCTGATTGGTGACATTGGGTTTCATGCCCTATCTTCTGATTGCGCCGCGAAACCTACTCCTTCCTCCCTCTAACGCTGATTGGCGTGATTTGGTTTGCGCCCTTTCGGCTGATTGGTTGTTGCTTGGTTAAGGTGCGAAGTTTGAATTCTCCGACTAAACCAAGCAACACCATGGAACTGATTTCGGGGATGTACAGAGCCTTGAGCTCCAGAATTTCAGCGCTGATATCTCCGGCTTTGTAAATCCGATCGCCTGGCTTTTTGCAGGGATCCTAGGGGGTACTGTAATGGATCACCTGGCACCCCGACTGGGTACCTCCGCTGAAGGATGCTCCTAGCGCTTCCTGAGGGCTCCAAATACTCCAGCCGACACCATAACCACTGTAGACTCCTTCCGAAAGCAAGACAGGAACAAGCTCTTAAAAGAGCTTAGAACAAACTCACAAATTAGCGCCTTGTTCGTATGAGTTTAGTCGAACGCACAGAAGGTAGAAGTTCAGCGGTGTTCCTGGATGGTAGCCAAAAACAGTTCCACGCGGTCGATGACTAAACACCGCTGAGTGTGTTCGACTAAACAAAATGGCCGCTGCCACGTGTTCGCACAGACGAACGCCGACCACCCAGTTAATCCTTTGGAACGTTAAGGTGTTTGTGGTTTATAACAGGTCAATAGGGTTAATTGTTGGCACACTCCTGCTCTGGGTGGTCGGTCGTTCGCCAGAAAATTCGGTATTCGAACGATTAGGGCCAAATGCACGATTAGTCACCTTGGAGAATTTAAATACACGAACAGTCTTTGTTCTCAACCATATGAAGCAATGTTAATGACTGTAAGGAAACGGTTTTGGATACCCTGTTGGGCTGAGGTTTCCAGGCAATATTGTAGGTTTTGTTACATTTAGGTATAACATAATTATACAATATGGCACAGTTTACAGACAGCTAAATAGCAACATTTAGATCGACATAGATGCAAATTTCAACAAGATTAACGGCAGAAACTTCACTTTGAAACCAGCTGGCTAAACATTCCTTAACACTGGTCTCTTCGCATCATCACAGCACAGTGTAAAGCGATAAAAACTTTGTCTGACAGTCAAATCACACTGAATTAACTCACTGCTGGCTACAATACTCATAGGCAGAATACCTGTTATATTGCAATGTGTGGCGAACAGAACCTCACCACAGGCTTTTGGAGGGGCCTGCTTGCCAGCCTCCTGCCAAAAGACTATGGGCCAGGTAAGCGACTGTAAAGACCCATATTTTATTTCCCCTGGTTCTGTACTTTCCATAGAACCGAACGCTAGCTCACTGGCGGCTGTTCGCATAGACACAAAACCGTGAATGGGCTTCGGGGGGACTTAGCCGCGAATGCCCTGGAACTATTTTCGGCATGAAAACTTTGCAGTTCCCGGTCGGTCCCCGAGCTGCACTTAGTCGCGATTCTATGGAACTGTTTTGTGCATGGGACCATGCGTGCGGTCAGCCAAAACTATGATTTACAGGAAATTCCTGAACCCCTGAACCGATCTGGGTGATTTTTGGATATGTTGTTCACCCGGATTGGGGCTATCAGGGGATGTACAGGGAGTGCAGAATTATTAGGCAAGTTGTATTTTTGAGTATTAATTTTATTATTGAACAACAACCATGTTCTCAATGAACCCAAAAAACTCATTAATATCAAAGCTGAATATTTTTGGAAGTAGTTTTTAGTTTGTTTTTAGTTATAGCTATGTTAGGGGGATATCTGTGTGTGCAGGTGACTATTACTGTGCATAATTATTAGGCAACTTAACAAAAAACAAATATATACCCATTTCAATTATTTATTATTACCAGTGAAACCAATATAACATCTCAACATTCACAAATATACATTTCTGACATTCAAAAACAAAACAAAAACAAATCAGTGACCAATATAGCCACCTTTCTTTGCAAGGACACTCAAAAGCCTGCCATCCATGGATTCTGTCAGTGTTTTGATCTGTTCACCATCAACATTGCGTGCAGCAGCAACCACAGCCTCCCAGACACTGTTCAGAGAGGTGTACTGTTTTCCCTCCTTGTAAATCTCACATTTGATGATGGACCACAGGTTCTCAATGGGGTTCAGATCAGGTGAACAAGGAGGCCATGTCATTAGATTTTCTTCTTTTATACCCTTTCTTGCCAGCCACGCTGTGGAGTACTTGGACGCGTGTGATGGAGCATTGTCCTGCATGAAAATCATGTTTTTCTTGAAGGATGCAGACTTCTTCCTGTACCACTGCTTGAAGAAGGTGTCTTCCAGGAACTGGCAGTAGGACTGGGAGTTGAGCTTGACTCCATCCTCAACCCGAAAAGGCCCCACAAGCTCATCTTTGATGATACCAGCCCAAACCAGTACTCCACCTCCACCTTGCTGGCGTCTGAGTCGGACTGGAGCTCTCTGCCCTTTACCAATCCAGCCACGGGCCCATCCATCTGGCCCATCAAGACTCACTCTCATTTCATCAGTCCATAAAACCTTAGAAAAATCAGTCTTGAGATATTTCTTGGCCCAGTCTTGACGTTTCAGCTTGTGTGTCTTGTTCAGTGGTGGTCGTCTTTCAGCCTTTCTTACCTTGGCCATGTCTCTGAGTATTGCACACCTTGTGCTTTTGGGCACTCCAGTGATGTTGCAGTCTGAAATATGGCCAAACTGGTGGCAAGTGGCATCGTGGCAGCTGCACGCTTGACTTTTCTCAGTTCATGGGCAGTTATTTTGCGCCTTGGTTTTTCCACACGCTTCTTGCGACCCTGTTGACTATTTTGAATGAAACGCTTGATTGTTCGATGATCACGCTTCAGAAGCTTTGCAATTTTAAGAGTGCTGCATCCCTCTGCAAGATATCTCACTATTTTTGACTTTTCTGAGCCTGTCAAGTCCTTCTTTTGACCCATTTTGCCAAAGGAAAGGAAGTTGCCTAATAATTATGCACACCTGATATAGGGTGTTGATGTCATTAGACCACACCCCTTCTCATTACAGAGATGCACATCACCTAATATGCTTAATTGGTAGTAGGCTTTCGAGCCTATACAGCTTGGAGTAAGACAACATGCATAAAGAGGATGATGTGGTCAAAATACTCATTTGCCTGATAATTCTGCACTCCCTGTATGTGGGGGGTTTGTATGTTTTAAAGGTATTTTGGGGGTTTATAAAAATGTGTGTTTTTGTGTCTGGAGATAATTGAGTTAATACAGTACTTGACTCAATTACCTCCCAGGCACAGAGGAGGGATTATCTGATTATGTATGGGAGTGTCCTGGATCTGAGAGCCAATGTGATTGTGTATTTGTTTCTACTGAGGTTTATTCTCAGGTCCAGGGAGGAGTGCCCTTGCATGGGGACTGTCATAAAAGGCCAAGTATGGTCCCATTAAAGGACCACTATAGTGCCAGGAAAACATACTCGTTTTCCTGGCACTATAGTGCCCTGAGGGTGCCCCCACCCTCAGGGTCCCCCTCCCGCCCGGCTCTGGAAGGGGGAAAGGGGTAAAAACTTATCTTTTTCCAGCGCTGGGCGGGGAGCTCTCTGCCACTTCTCCTCCTCCGATCCGCTGAATGCGCACGTGCAGCAAGAGCTGCGCGCGCATTCAGCCGGTCGCATAGGAAAGCATTCATAATGCTTTCCTATGGACGCTGGCGTCTTCTCACTGTGATTTTCACATGCTATATTGGCTATAATGACTAGCTCTTGGTAAGAGCTACACTGCTATACTCTCTGGAGGAGGAGAGGTCCACCTACTGGAAGCTGGATCCTTGTCTTGGGTCAAGGGTGGGTGGAGGACAGCGAGACCCCAGCCAAGCTGCGGCGGCTAAGGGGCTACGGTGCTTATGGTGTCCGGTGTGGTGCTTATAGTACTCAAGGCTACTAGGAAGCAGCGATTGGTGGAGGCACCCAGTTGGCGGTTTGTCACACAATGATAAACACAATATTTCTCATACCAGATCAGTTAACCATTCCTTCTCATCCAATGACCAACAAGAATAATTCTAACCAAATTTTAAGTTTGCAGAATTTTATTTTCCTAATTAAAGATTACTATCCTTAATTTAAATTAAGTCAATATCTCTGGGTAAAAGTTCAGTATTCCAATTTTGGCAAATTACCAGTGAATATATTGTTTAATTATTCCACCTGCAGGAATGGAATTTTTATAACCATATTTTTCTTAGCTTATTATGATTTCTAAGTTAGAAACCTGACCTACCTTCACCCAGATATATTTCTGTTTTAGTAAAATTAATTAATTTAAATTAACTAGAACCAGCACATTTACCAGCTCTTGG